AGGTCTGGCCGAATCAAGGGATTAACTTTTTTCCCTAATTCGAACCAGCCTTTCTCTCTTGTCTCTCTTCTCTCTTTTCTTCTTTCCTCTCCTACTTCTTGCTGTCTACTTTACTCTACAGTCAACGAACAAGACAGAATTCTATGGCAGGTCAAACTTCAACATACTGCTTTTATTTTCTCTATTAAAATTCTCTTACTATTGATCAAAAAGAAAATAAAAGGATGGCAACTAGTAGCATCTTCTTTTTCTGCTAGTAGAAAAATTTCAGTGCCATGGAAGCCACCCAGAACTGACCAATTTAAATTAAACTTTGATGGGTGTGTGGACTGGGCAATCCTAGTTCCTCAGGTATCAGGGAAGTAATGTAAGGAGTGGTAGATAGAASACAAAGTTGATGGATAGCCTTGTTTCAAAATCTAAGTTATGCTCTAAATTTAAAGGAAAATCCAGCTAATAGTTGCTGGTTTTTTCATTGGAACTAGGATCTGAGGCCTTTTTTGGAGGCATTTTAGCTTTAACATCAACTAATGTAGGGGCTGGTAGATAAAAGGCAAGGTTGATGGGTGGCTAACTGGCTATGCTTCAAAATCTAACAAGGTATGCTCTAAATCTAGCGGAAAATCTAGAGTATCCTGGCTTTCTTCTAGTAGTAAAGAACTATAAGAAAATAACAAAGAGAAGAAGAGATCACATGTTTCTCCACCATTGATTTCAAGAAGAGAAAAGAACTGTAGAGTAGAGCAAAATTTAACTCCTTCATTCTCATTCAATTATGCTTTTCTGGAACACACCTATATTTATATAGAACTCTTCAAAACTTTGACTAAAATAGAAATTTAGTAATTATAAAACTATACCTGACTCTTAATTAGGATCCTAGAAACTTTTAAGCAAAAAAGCACACAAAATAGAAGCATAGCAAATAGTAGTTGACTAAAGCTAATAGGTTAACTAAGCAAAATAGGAAACCACTAATTACAGATCATCATCATCATTGTCTAAGCTTTGTCCTATATGCGGTCGGCTACATGAATCCTCTTTTGCATTTTGATTCTGTTTAGTGCCATATCAATTGTTAAATTATGGGTGTTAAACCATTCCTTATTACTTCCACCCAAGTCCATTTCTGCCTCCCCCTAGCTTTTCTGCCCCCTTCAACTTGTAATAGATCACTTTTTCTAACAGGTGTCATAGATGGTCTTCTATGCACTTTTTCTAATAGATCATCCAGTCCATTAATGTGTAGCTCGTCACATGGCCACTAGGAAGATTCCAAACCACCAGCTTATGGCTACTCATTAGATAGATTTGATGGTATCTACTCTTCTTTTTATGTTTTTGTCATTTTTAGCAGGTTGGTGTGGAGAAGTTCGTGATGTCATATTCTCTGACAGTGGAAGTGTGACTTTGGTTTATCGTCTCACCATACGTGGGTCTGATGGAGAGGTATGTCTTTTCTTCTCTGCTGCAAGTATTTTGCCTTTGGTCTGTATTCTGATTCACATTATATTTGCTCCCCTTCCATGGCTTGGTCATTACCTACAATACAACATTTAGAATATCTGAGTACAAATGACCAACATGTAGAATACCTGTCATTCCAAGGTGAGAATGACTTTTGAATCTGGCATCGATTCTAATATATGCACAATTTTCTATGGTGGATCATTTATTTTAGTTTGAACTTGTTTTTATTCTTGTTGTTAGGAATGCTATTAGACCTGTTATTGGGCCGTAGTGGGCTGTTAGTGGGCCTGTTTATATGTTTATCTCTGTTAAGCTGTAATCAGGGGTATTCTTGTAATCTCTCCTTTTATTTGAACACCCTAATATATAAGCCAAGTGGGGCTCCGCCCCCACTATCTTTTTGGCAAACTCTCCTATCTTCTCTGCTCTATTTCTCTCCTCTTCTTATTTTGGCAAACTCTCTTCCATTCCAGATGGTATCAGAGCAGGTTTTACAGCAGATTGGTGCTCGAGTGGACCTTTCTTATTTTTTTTTCTCTCAGTTTTCTCTGGGAAGGATTGTAACACTTCAGATTTGCAAAGGAACTGATCGGGTAAGGGATTTTTTTACTATTTTTCCCTTTTTGGTCGTGGGACCAAAGGGTCATTGTTTGGGTGTCTCCCTTGTATCCTGTGATGGAGGTTTGACTGTGAAGAGAGGTGTCTCTCTGTGTTTTCCATAGTTGTGTGGTCTGAGATGAGACCACTTTGTGCAGGCTGACTTCATGGAAATGCCATTTCCTAAGGTAGAGGGGTAGATGGTTCCACCAAGTTCGAGGAAAGAATGTGGTGGAAGGAGATTTTCATTGAGAAGAAAGAATTGCCATTCGAGGAAGCTGATGGAATTTCGTCGCTGAAGATTAGAGAAAAAAAGCCGATGGTCATTTTGATTAAAGAAAGTATAGATTGGTTTAAAGGGTTCATGGATGGAACGCTTCTGGCTATGGATGATCAGGGGTGGGAAGGAGAGATGAAGAAGGAGGGGAAGATCTTCACAGCTGGAATCAAATGAAACAGCAAAGGCTCTTTCGTCTTGCTCATTGAAAGAGTAGGGGTTGAAAGGAAGCAGATTGTTTGTATGCTAGAAGGGAGGGGGAAAAGGGGATGACACATGATAGCAGAAGCCTTGGAGGAGTTCACACACAGAAGATGGTGCTTCCGGAAGGTTAACAGTTCATCGATGGAGGAACAGGGTAAGCGAGAGGAGAAGAAGAAGGTTGAGAAGATTGGGAGTGCGAGTGCTATGTGATGTCTCAAGAGTTCCAAAAATTTGGTTTGCACGGAAGAGTGAGGATTGGTGGAAAAGAAAGGTGGTAAGGGCAAACAAGAAAGTGGAAGATTGGAAGGGACTTCTAGTCGAAATATCAAAGGCTCTACCATCCATTGATTTGCCAAGGCTGTTTCCCTTCGATGAGAAGAAAGCTATTTTGGAGATAGGTGATGTAGCGCGATCTGGCCGCTCTCGCGTGTCTTGTGACTCGGACGCTGATTTGGATGCTTGCCTTGTTAGGGGTCGAGCTATAGATAGCCGAGATGTTTTGTTCTGCAAGAGAGGTAGAATTAGATTGCCCGGGTTGTTTTTACCCAGGGTGGGCACTCTGATGCTCAAGTCAGAGAGTTGTTCGTGAGTTCTTTAGGAGGTAAGGGTATTTGAGAGCTTAATCGCACGTACCTTCACTGGTAAGAATGAGGGCTTTATATAGAGGTGAGCGACCAGAGTCTTCTCACAACGGGTCTCATGTTCTCGCAGTGCCGTTTTTGCTCACTTGGGAGAGTAATTACATCGGTTACATAATTTGCGCGGGAGTTATGGTCCGTCTAATTAACTCTAATGTGTGCGATGCGGTAGGCCGACCTAACGGTCGAGTCATTAGCGCTTCGGAGGTCTCGGGCTGGTAACATATCTATGAGACAAGTCAGTAGGCTCGCCTTGTAGGTCGCCACAGGTTCTTACTGTTAGACAGTTTTGTATGCCCTTAGCTTCAATCCGATTTGATGTACTTTTGACATTTAGTGTAAATAAATAAAGTGCATATTTGATTCATGTTGATTGGTATGATTTTGTGTAAGACCCTAAAACTGGACACTTATAGAGACTCGTGTTAGTTTTAAATGTTCACAACCATTGGATAAGTCTGGGGAGATTTATCCTACCAAGGCTGATACTGGTGTGCCACTAA